CCTTGGCCCAGACCCGGCGATCCGGGCCCAGAACCGAATTTGTCCATGTCTGGTCTAATCCAACCATTTCACATCACAATGACCAACGGGTCCCTCGTACTGAAAAAAACACAAATATTCCTTTTTAATTGATTAAATGGCACCAGGTACACTTTACATCTTTTTAATCTTATCATGCTAATGTTATGGTGAAACATATTAAGAGCCGCATAAAAGACAACAAACAAATTCAAAACTGAGAAGAAGCAACCATACCAGAAACTCTGAACAGAGAACAAATTCTTTAAACCAAAATCATACAATACTACCAGAATTCCAGCTGAAAGAATATCTTGCATTAAGTTCGAACCACCGATGGAGGAGTATATTTTCGAACTTATTTTCTTTTAACAAACTGAAGCGTATGCCTTTGCACGAAAACATGCATCACTGTAACGTGCCTTTCAGAACCTTCTTTAAGTATAAAATAAAACTAGGCGGTACACAACAGATAAGGGACATCGTTAGAAGATCATAAAAAAAAAACAACAGGAAGACCAGCAAAATAAATATACCTACAATGAATCGGTTCAGTATTCAAACTTTACATTGAACACACACTTCTGGCCCCAATAGGATCTGCCAACTAAATATGCTTTCAGATGTATTGCAACACGTACAGTAGAAAAACACAGTACACTAGATTACAAGTGGATGAATTGCTTTACAAAATACTCACCTCCGATCTCTCTCTCACTCCAAATTCTTCTTGTTTCTTGCCTCTGCTTTCCAATGCCTCCGACTCGGCTGTACTCTATTTGTTGCATCGTTATCCACCGGGACATTGCTCAAATTATCTGACGGTAAATCTGCTCTGTCAATTGAACCCGGTTCTTGATTCTTGTGCATGTGGGCATTCCTAGCATCTTTCTTCCAATCTCTTTGACAATGAACGCGGGTCACACGATCAGGAGAAGTGGAACCTTCCGGAATCTCAACTTCCACAGGCACTGATATAAACTCGGATGGCATTTTCTGGTGATGAATTGGAAGGGATGATTGGTTGTCAGTTGATGTCTTTATCAGATCAGCTTGGTGACGTTTTCTGGCCCTGTACCTACGTTGTCTCTCTCTATTCTTTAAACGGCGAACTAAGATGTCATCGGGACTCGTACCGTTTTCTTTCTCATCGCGGTGCAACACCAGAGAACCATCCATCCTGCAATTTTGTCATTTTTTTTTTTTTT